CCAGCCGGACTTGAACCATTGACCTTGACTGTGGAGGGTATGGGAGCTTAACCGCTAAGCTATGGGACCCACACCCTGATGTTAATCTTTTGAAGAGAATAAATTAAATTATTCATTTTTATAAAATTTTTCTTAAAAAAAAGTAAGAGATAATAAAATTTTGTGTATAATTTTTTGTATAAGTTTTATAATTGTATAGTAGTTGTTTTAAGTTTCTAATAATTTTGATTTAAGTTTTTTAACAATTGTTCTTAAAAAAAACTTCTGGTTTGAATGTTAAAAAATGAAAAAAGTTTATTTAAAAAAAACTTGATCTCTTTTTAAACAATCATAAGTATGCCTGCTTCTTAGTATTTTACATCTATTTTGATTTTATTAATAATAATCTACTTTATGTAAAACTAAGAATATTGGCTTCTTAATCTTGCTATAGTATTTTTTATAGTTCAATTTATTGTTGTTATTAACTAGAAGATCATTAAAAAAGTTATATCTAAAAATTATCTATATGCTTTTATTTTTAGTTTTATTTAATATATTAAATTATATTTTATTATATATTCTTAAAGAATTTTTAGATTAATTGTTCTTTAATAAGCCAAGTAGTATTAATTTCTAACTTATTTAAATTTTGATTAAAATCTCATCTAGTTCTAATAAATTTATGTAAATATACAAATTAATAATTTTCTTTACTGTTAGTTAATTTTATAATAAAATACAATTGTTTAAATTTTTATATAAAATTATACTTATTTTTATTGTTCTTACTATTTTAAGTTTGTTTTTGAATAAGCTTAACAAACACTTCTGAATGTTGTTAATTAATCTTTTTAAGAACTTTATTATCTGTAACAAATAATAAAGCTTTGATATAATGCATATATTATTTATATATATAATAATATATATTTGTGTTATAATTATTTTTTTACTTTTAGTTCTCTTACTATTGATTGTATTACTTTTTTTTGCTTTTAGACAGTACTTTAACTCTTAATAAATCTACTTTTTATTGTGTGATTCAACATGATTCAAATTAAATTCTTTAACAAGACGTTCACTAGAATATTCTTTGATTAGTAAAGTATTATATGGTTGATTTATTTTTTTTAAAGTTTCATATATAAATATTCGTGTAACGTTGATCCCGGAAATCATCGAAAACGAATGTCCCCCCTGTTGCAAATCAATTAAGTTAAAAAAAATTAAAGACTCTAGCAAAAATTCTAATCAAGTCATGCCAACACGACTCAATTATCAATTATATAAACAAGCTACTTATACAAGTCGCTTTAAATTATCAAAAACTTACTAAACCAGTTATCCCATCAAAATATTTGGTTTCAGAGTATTATTTCCATATTACTAACTCTTGTACGTTTTAATATATGTTCGAACGCAAAAGTTTGACTAAAGATGACCAATATTTGACTGAAACAATGTTTGATTTTTTTTCGATATATTTTTTCTATAGAGTTCTATGCCGAAGTACTTCAGTGTACACTTTATATCAAAGGTTTACAAGTTAAATATACTGTTAACTACGAGTATTTTGTTACAAGGTCCAAAAAATTAAGACTTTTGTTGTTTTTCTTGATCAAACAATCTCGCACTAATAAAAAAGATTCCTTGCATAATTTTGGTCTAAGATAGGCCCTAGTTTGGTCATAACTCTAACCTTAGAGTAAGGTTAAAAATTCGATCGTTTTGATTAGTGTAGATCATCTGATTGATGCATATTGGGTAGCTGCATCTGTTGCATAACGATAAATAATAAACTGACTAATTGGTCTAATGATAATAGAAGACAATAATGATAAAAAATAAGATATAGTAAATAGATAATGGATAATGAACTAAAAAAAATATCAATTTAATCAAGTTATCTTAAATGATAAAAGAAATTTAACTTTTAAATTTTCGCATTAATTTCAACGCATCTTCTTTAGCGTTAGTACCATTGTGTTTTGAAGCTGCCTTTAAGTAATTTAATCCTAACTTCACATTTTTTTCCATTTGAAGTTTTCCATTCACATAAATATCTCCCAAAAGATACATTGCTTCAGGATTATCATTATCTTCTGCCAATTCTAAATAATGTATGATTGTATCGCGATTTTCTGTCCTTTTATTAGCATCGTTAAGTAATGAAACTGCATACCGATGTGGTGCATCAGAAATTGCATTCTGATATTGTTCATCGGAAACTGTATCTTGATATTCTCTGACATCACCACTATCTACACTATCTGCAACTTCTTTAAAAAGTTTGTATGCAAATTCTTTATCCGATTTTAAATACCCATTAAATAAATAATATCCTTGCCAATATTTTGCTATTAGATTTCCGAGTTTAGCATTTTCTTCAAAGCATTTCCATGCGATTTCATATTCTTTACTTTGATGACACTTTATTCCTTCATCAAGTTCCATCGTCTCTTCTTCACTTGCTCCCAAGTCTAATACTTTGTTTTTCAAAAGCAATGGTTCATCAAGAGGAACTGGGTAATCTTCAGCCAATTTTTCAAGGTGCTTATGTAAATCCAATAGGGCTATTCGTTTTTCTGGCTTGTGCTGCCATGCTATTTATTAAATTGAATTTAATAGGATAAATAAAAAAAAATCTTTCCGGAAATAATCTCAACTTACCTTTAATAATTATTTCAATAATATTTTCCTGAATCTTCGTATTATTAGGATTGTTTGATTTTCCAAGCAAAAGTTTTTCTCGTCTACCGCTTGTAACAACGTTAGCTATTTGTTTAGGGTCTGTATACTTTTTATAAGGAATCTTCTCATAACAAAGTTCCCAAATAAGCATTCCAAAACTAAGTGTGAAAAAATGATGGGTTCAAAGTAAATACAACATTTAATCATCATATCTATAAAGATTCTTATAAGATCTACCTAAACATTTCACAACTAAATGTATATCCTCGTTTCTCGGGATTGTTTTGGCATTTTTCGATCTGTTCAGGTGCCATCCAACGAAACATCTCTATCCGACTCTTAAATGAAAGCAAACTAGTATTTTCAGTCGATTTACGTGAATGTATAAAATTTCCAAGTTTTGGAATTAACCCTTCAAATATCTTTAATTAATATATCAGTATCTTGCTAATTCACACCAGTTCTTGCGTGATAAATAATAAAATTTTTTATTAATATACTTACGAAAACATTTTTGCATCTAATATCATGATGTAGAATATCTAAGTCACGCAAAAATACAAGACCACGGCAGATATTACGAATAATCCCTACTTTTCTAGTCCAAGGAATATCATAAGAGTCATAAAGATCCTTTAAATTTCCGTATTCAGCCCAATCAAAAACCATATGTTCACAGTTGTCGAAATATGAGAGACCATAAAATTTGAGAATGTATGGTGATAAACCTAATTTTTCAAGGATCGCTAAATTGGGTCGATGTTGCTTGTCAGAAGCTTCTAATGCTATTGATTTACATGCAACGGCAGCACCCTTATAATATTTCTTAATAACAGAATCACGTTTACAATATCCAGTTGGGGGATCATTTAACGTGATGTTTTGCGTTTTGGCATCGGATATTTTATTTTTTATGTCGGATATATCTTCAGCTAATTTATCAAGCTTGTTATTTGCAATTCCGACATCAAAATCAACTTTCTCAAGTTCCTAAAATCAGCAAATGAAAAGCAGTCTTTAAAATTAATTTAAAATTATTAATCATTAGAATAATTTATACATACATCTAAAACTCTATCAAATTTTTTAGCTTCTTCCTCTTTATCATTTTCATTAGCAATTGCCAAACTAAATTGTAGATCTTTCATACAGTCATTATATTCTCTAATCAATTTATAAGCTTGTTGTTTGATATTACCAGCTTCAATAAATTTTCTAAGACCTTTAAGCTTTGATACTTGTACAGTAAATTCTTTAATCTCGGTCAAAATTTTTACAAATCTTTTGAGGGATAAAGAATATTCTTTTTCATAGAGATAATCATCATCTTTTCTCAACATTTTTTCTAGAGCATATTTTGCTGCTTCTACCCGCTCCATCATGATACCACACATTTCTTTATTGCATTCTGCATCCTCATAAACTTTATAAATTTCTTCAAATAAAATTTTCACAGTATCAACTAAAGGAATGTAGGAAGCTGCGATTTTAACAGTAGTTTTAACAGTTGAGACCGTTACATTCTTTATATCTTTGGACATTGAATTTTTGGCCATAGCGATAATGAAATTGAATTTAATGCTAAACAATAACTTAAATTCCGATTTCTCCGAAATTGGTGAAATATCTGAGACTGGTTAAAGTTCAAACCCTAAATATATACTGTATGCGTATCATGCCTGCCTTTTCGGATGTTTGACGTTATACTTAACTAAAATTACCGATTAATACGTCAAATCAAGACAGACACATATGTACGTACGTACAACGTATCGATATCTGTATGTTCATTTAAAGGAATCGATTATCAGAAAGATTGGAAACTCGTTACTTGATTTATTATAATCAAGTAGTACGTACATTGAAATCAAATACTTCTTAAATTATCGATTATTATTTGACTTCAAATTCCGGGATGAGGATTACCAAACCAAAAATTGCAAGAAATTGTAAATAACGCGAAATTTCACTATGCCAATTTCCGGCCTTTAAGTGAAAATATTCAACATCAAATGCTAGTTATAGAATGCGTTTTGAAATACCAAATACTGTATATATGGACCTAAGGTTTTTAGACCGGAGTTTGTAATGCAGATCAGGTGAATAAATTTTTTACTATCATCGATATGAAATTTGAAATTTACAATTTTCATAGTAAATTACAGAATTACAACGGTAGGTGAGGTGTTTTAAATCGTTGTTTTCAGGGTTTCCTAAAAGGTAGTTGCATTATGGACAATGTGAAATGATTCGGTAACAAAAACAGTTTATATCCTTATGTTTTAAAAGTAAGAAAAATAAAAAAAAAACTTGGAAAGTATCATGTCTTCAAAGATGCACTTTTGTTTTATAATTTATAGTACTGAATAATAGTCAAATTTTACAAAAACAAGGTTATTAGTAAACTTCTGCACTAAATTTTAAAATCACATAACTTTATTAACTTAACGAAACTGTTAATAACCAGTTTTACATGGTTAAGAAGGAAAAAAAGTATTAATTAATGTATTTTACAAAAACATTACTTTGATTTTTCTAGATTTTAAAATAACTTGGATCAGAAAAATGAAACTATTAGTTTACATATTTTACATTGATTTCTTTAGATCTAGTTGAAGTAATAAATTCAAATTAGAAGAATAAAAAGTACTAGCTAATATACTTTGCAAGAACATTATCTTAGTTTTTTTGGATAATAAACTTTGATCAGAACAAAAAGCATTAATTAACACAACTTACAAGAATATTATATTAGATTTTTTAAAATAATGAATTTAAATATAAAGAAAAGTATACTTTGTAAAACATCATATTGACTTTAGTTAAAATTTAGATCAGAAGAACAAAAAGCATTAGTTTATATGTTTATTAAAACTTTATATTGATTTTTTTAAATTTTATATTTTTATAATAAGTACTTATTATTGGTCATATTGTAAATAATAACTGATAAGGGGCATGGCAACATAGTGAAGTGATTATGTTATCAACTCCCAAGTGGCAGAATTATATGCTTTGCTTATATCTTGTAATAAGAGCTAAATTGGTTTATAGTTGCATGATTAGTCTTTATTAAGGTTATTAAGTATATAAATTGGTATAAATGTGCTATTGTTAGGTAAAGCAACATAGTTGTATAATGAAAAAATATAATATTGAAAAAGCACAATGCTAATTCTGATAATAATAATTTTTGTATAAACTTTTCAAATATGTTCAATAAGACTTATCAGATAAGTAAAGTTTAAGTCTTTATTGAATGTGTTATATTTTGGAATAGATTCTACTATGTTTCTATTGCTTAAAGATTTGATCTAAATTGAGTTAACAATTAAATAAAGTTGTAATAGCTTGAATACAGATAGTGCCTATATGTTTAAGCATTTTATAGCTAATTCTTGTAAGTTTATAGTCTTTTCTGTTAGAAAGGTTTAATAAGGTTTGAAGAACTTCTTCTTCTGTTATAAGAGAGTTGAGAGAATTATACTATTGAGTATTGATATGTAGTTGTGATTGATAATGTGTGTGCATCAAAAGCTACTAAATAGTACTTAATCAATTAGTTGATATACAGTCCAGTTATGGAAATGTAATTGTATATACTGTTTAATAAGGTTAGAGTTTGTAATAAGTTAATCAGGAAATTTGATATTAGAAAAGTAAATAGAAGCCTTATATCAGTTAAAAATGCTGTTTATAGCTTGTTTAAAATGTGTTGTAAGTGTTTCATATTTCTTTTCTATAACTTATTGAATTTGTTGATAAAGTAGTAATGAGTTTTTAGTATAACTAGTTTGATATAATTATTTTCAAATGCCTTGTGTATGTTGAATCCATATATGAATTTGAAAGTAGTTGTTTAAATTAAGAACCTGAATATCACAATAAGATCTGTTATTAAGATTCTGAATCTTAGAGTTTATTATATTAATATTAAGGTTGTTGTAAGTTTGTTTAACAATCTTTATTAGATGTCTAAGTTCTTTAAATAATATATAAAGTAATGTAGAGTGAAAGAAGTATTGATAATTGTAACTATATTTATAAGTTTTTTTTTTGTTAGAAATAGAGTGTATTGTGTATTAATTATTAAATATTTAATCTTATACTAGGTGGTTTCAATACTTTTACTAGTATTATTGTTAAGTGGTATATTGTATAGTCTAAGATTATAGGATAGAAGATCTAAGAATTTTGTCTATTTGTCAGGTAACATATCTTTATAATTAAAAATTTTGTAACTAATATCAGTGTAATATTATGAAGGTTTGCTATATGTATTAGTAAAGGTCTAGGTAGATGTAAAGATAAAATGATTACTGAATATTAAGATGTTGTTATTATTAAGTTTGTATAAAAAAAAGAATTGAATATTAAATGAATCATTCCAGATATAGTTAATATAACTATAGCTAGTATTGTTTAATCATATAAAATGCTTGTTGTCAACATATACATCAAGGTTAAATATGTTAGAGTAGTATAAATAATTAATAAGTCAAAATTTAGATAATAAGCTACAAATATCATTATGTATGTTAAAGTCTTTAAGTATTATTAAATAAAGATTATATTGAAAAGCTTGTTAGATCTATGTAATAATCATATTCTGTGATTTGTTACATTTTTGTATATTAGTAGAAGAGAAATAAACAGCTATAATTCAAAGTTTGATTTTACTTTTGAAAAAGAGATTCAAGACAATTTCTCTACTAGGATGTATTTGGCAATTGTGTACATGAGGTTGTAAATATTTATGAATCATAATAGCAGTACCTTCTGCTAAGCTTTCAGAATTAGCTCAAAAGTAAATAAATAAGGTGTTGTAAAATTTAAGATTAGTACTGCTAGTAATTTTGATTTTAGTAATACAGGCAATATGGATATTATTGTAAAACCAATAATTTTTTTAAGCTTCTCTTTTAGTTGTTGTATTAAAAACTTTAATATTGTGTGTACAGATATTTAAATAAAGATTACATAAAAATTATATTAATATAAATGCTTGTGATGTCATATAGTTATTAAGAAATAAGTTAAATAAAATAAAAGTAGAATTAAAAAAGTTTAATCTAAGAGGTAGATTATAAAAAATAAGATGAAAATAAGAATGAATAACAGTATGTTTGGGTATGAGAAAATTATTTAAAAGATATATATGAGTTTTATGATAGATATTGCTAACAGAAAAGATAATACTAAAGACAGTATTATTTTGGTTATAATTATTAATGTGTTGTATAAGAGATTAAATAGTTTGGCTATATAAAAGAGATAGTAAATTGTAATAAAAAAAAAATTTATTAAAACATATATGAAGATTATAGAGGTTTAGAGATGTTGAAAATAATCTTCTGAGTTTGTTTTCTACAAAATCAATCATCATATGCTTGGCTCTTATAGCTGTGCAAGATACTATAATCTGCTCTGTATATTGGATCTGATTATTATAATCCTAGCCTTCCATATTAATAGGCTTTATTGCCTATCTACTTACATCATTTTTCCTATTAACTACTAAGAATGTATTATTTAATAGGATAATAGCTGCATCTATAAGTTTTGTAGAAGACAAAATTATTAAAAAATAGTTTTTTTTTCTAAAAAGAATGACTTAGTAATGGAAGTTGGTATTTCAAATTTAATGTTAAATTTTTTATATAGAATTGTTTCAGCTTCTAGTAAAGCTTTTTCTTTATAAAATTTAGTTATTGTAAAATAGTTAAGAGATTTATTATAGATGCAATCAAAGTATGTAATAACATGTACAAAAAAGTTAGTGTTAATAAGTTTAAGTGTAAAAAAGTTATTGTGTCAATATTATAGTTCTGTACAGCTGTGTTTTGATAAATAGTTAGATATTAGTAAAAGGAAAATGTTTGTTGTTTTGGATTGGTTCTAATAGAATTAGCAAAACAGGTATACTCTTTTGCTTTTGCTACTAGTACATTTAAACAGTAGTAGAAATTTGTTTAGTAAATGTGACTTTATGTTTTTCTTTAATATAAAATATTGAAGTATCAAGAAAAAGTTCATTTTAGGCTTCAATTTTTTTTGAATAAGTATTATATAATATATCAAATATGCTTCTAATAAGTTTTAATGAGCTGTATATCAGTTGTGGCTTGAGGTTTGTTTTTTAAACATTGTCAGATTTCTTTTTATTGTCAAGTTCTTTTTCTTTATTTTTAGTTATAACTGGCTCAAAATAAGAATACTTAAAGTTAATGCAAGTAAGTATATAGTAATTAACATGTCTAAAAGTTTATTGTATCTTTTATGAAGACTGGTTGGTTTTTTAAACTCAACAGTAGTAGGTAAGAGTTTTTTGAAATAAGAAATAAAATGTTTTCTAAATTCATATTTAAGATAATTTGAAACTTTGATTTTGTTAATAGTATTAAAAAAATTAGTGACTATATATAGAAAAGATTTTTTTAAACTATTTATTAAAATAGTTAACTGAATTTTTTAAAAATTATATATTGTATTTTTCAAGAAATAGAATTTTGAAAAAGTTCAAGTTAAGTTTAATATTAAATTAATTGTCTATTTT